CATGTCCCCGGCTCCTGTACCAAGCTGGGAAAATAGGCTGCAGGGAAAAGCTAATGCTCGGCAGTCCCTGCCATCGCCAATGTGTCCCCAGGGGGTCACCAGCCCTGTCCCCCCAAACCTGTGGGGTGGGGGCAAGCCAAGTAGCTTACTCAGAAACACGCAGGGCGATAGAGTTGCTATTTTGGAGGTCCGCGCTGTCCTCACCCCCACCTCTTCCCAGCAGCCTCCCACAGATCACGTACCTTTTTACCGCTCCTCGTTATCGTCCTCATCAATAATTAAGCTGCAAGTCCCTCGCTGTTGGCTGCGCCAGGAAGCGGAGGCCGGGCGCACTCTCCCTCCGCTCAGCCTCCTGCGGGGAACAGCCTGTCCCTGTGTGCGCGCTTGCTTAATTGCTTGTGACACTGTTAAATATGGATCTTGGTGGCTTTCCAAGGGCACCCCGGCAGAAGTGCTGTACAAAGGAACCATTACCAGGATAATCGGAGAAGACAGCCCCAGCAGAGCAGAGAAGGCGAGAGAGGATGCCATGCCCAAAGGACATGTCATCTACGAAGGGAAGAAAGGCCACGTGCTGTCCTACGAGGGTAAGTCGTAATCCTCTGCCTTTTTAGGGCAGGCACCGGGGGTTTGTGCCGTTGTGGCTGGGGGTCAGGAGGTATTTGAGGAAAGGCTGACGAAGTGCAACGGGCCAGCCTCGCGTCTTTACTTCCAGCATCGTTTCTCTCCCTTCCCACCCTTCCCACTGCCTACAGCCTGGCTGGGTTTCCCTCTGTCCCATGTCGTTATCTTGCCTTGGAGGCGGCTTTGCCGGCAGGCAGAGGCGCGATGGGGCCGTGGCCGTGGACAGGGTCTCTGGTTTCGGTTGGTTTTGGGGAGCAGGGGAGAGGAGAGGACCAGATGGGAAGGTATTGCCTTCATTCCTAGCATCCTGTGCAGGAGGGGACTGTCCGAAAACGTTATGGGAGCATCCCCAAGCTCCTGGGCCATCTTCTCAAGAACCTGGAAGATGGAGGCAAGTCGAGTAGTTTGGCGTAAAGGTGTATTTGGACATCAGATTCCCACCTGCAACATCTTGGGCACCGTGCAGCTTTCCCAGCATGGGGCTGCCCTGCAGAAATCCTCCTGGGCCCGGCAGCACCGCACCTCAATATCTTGTGAGCTTTGCTACAGCTTTTGTAGCTATTGGAGGGGGTGAAGCCATTCCCGCGTCCCACAAGGAGCCTGTCTCAGGGGTGCATTGGTCTTTTGCCGGCTGCTATCGCCCAGAGGCACTGAGGACCCCGAGGGACCTGCCCGGAGCCCCGTCTGGGGTGAGAAGCTGCCCCCGGCACAGATGGTGTCACTTGTTAACCGGGCTGACCCTGCCCAGCTGGGGAGCAGAGTACGGCAAAGCAAAGCCAGGCGAGCAGCCGTGCTGCTCCAGAGAGGGCTCTGGAGAGACCCGAAAGCCATGTTGCAGCTCACACCCCTGCTGTATGGTAACACGCTTCCTCGGTGAATGCCGATGGTGCCTCGCTGCGTTAGCGGTATCAGCAGGCAGTCACCAGCTGCTCCTGCCTCCTCTGCGCCTGCTCATCCGATCGCAGCACCGGCCATCAAAGCTGCTCTGCGCGTCCCGGTGGCTCCCGTTAGAGATAAGCAGATAGATGTTCCTCTCCAGTGAAGCTGGAAACGACTCCTCTGTGCTCGCCTTTCGCCGTGCGCTGGGTCGGGCATCTCTGGCGTGGAGCCGGGCTCCTGCTCGCACGCAGCTGGGGTCGGGAAGAGCTGAGTTACGGACACCCAGCACCGGCCATCAAAGCTGCTCTGCGCGTCCCGGTGGCTCCCGTTAGAGATAAGCAGATAGATGTTCCTCTCCAGTGAAGCTGGAAACGACTCCTCTGTGCTCGCCTTTCGCCGTGCGCTGGGTCGGGCATCTCTGGCGTGGAGCCGGGCTCCTGCTCGCACGCAGCTGGGGTCGGGAAGAGCTGAGTTCCGGACACCGCAGCCCCGCGTCCTCTTGGGGTGAAATACTGGCATGTGCTCTGGCGTGCATGGGGACGGCTGTTCTCGAGTGTTACCTCTCTTCTCAGTTGAATTTGGAGATGACTAAGGAGCAGATCCCAACCTCAGCCGCACTCGCCCGCCTCAGCAGGTATCTCTGGTCGGCTGCTGTGCTGCCTGAACCCTCTGCCTCCCTCCCCGGGGCGGCTGCATCCCTCCCTGGGGCAGAGCGTCCTTTTTAGCCTGCCCGGCAGCCCAGTCCTGCAGGCAGAGGGTGTCCAGCAGAAGTCCCTTTCCTCCTGCCCACAAGTGCAGGCAGCTGGTTTCATCGCAGGCTGGTTGTTTCATCCGGGGCTGGAGGCAGAGGGTTCAGGTCAGGCCATGGGGGACAACTCGCAAGCTTCGGCTGGTGCCACCTCTGTGTGTGCCCTGGGACCGCAGAGACCTTTCAGGACAGGGCTCTGCACCGTGCCTCTCGCCCGCCGTGTGGAAACCAGCTTGTCCCATGCCTGCCCGCGTTCGCTGTCAACTCTAGCCCAGATAAGAAGTGTCACCGCGGGAGGCTTGTGTCTGGGTGCCCTTTGGGACAGTTGGCAGGGCTTGGACCAGGGAGGACGCAGGAAGCATTTCAGGACTTGTTTGTGCAAGAAGCTATTTTAATCTCCTTTGCCCGGGCCTGGAGTCGAGTGAGGTTGATCTCAAAAACGGTACCGCCAGGAGAGAGATGGGGAAGGCTCCGGGCAGCGAGGGCTGCCCATGCCCGGAGCTGGGATCCTGCTCCGGGCAGCGAAGCAGACCTGCAGACCAGACTCTTCCCCACTGCCCGCACTCGTCGGTGTCAGCCCGAGTCTCCTTGGCTGCAGCCTGAGCCCATCGCCTCTTGTCCTACCCCCCGTGGTCACAGATGAGGAATTAATTCCTTCCTCTCCATGGCAGCCTTTTACATGCTTGATAGCGTTTATTGCATCCTGAGTAATCTCGCCTGCTTCTGCAGCCTAGCCAGCCCTGCTGCCTGCCTCCTTCCTCCCATACAGCCGAGCAAGGCTTCACAGCCCGGAGCGGAAGAGTTAAAAAAAAAAATTAAATAAGAAAACTGAAATTGTTGGTGATTATGAATTTTGGCAAGCAGAAAAAAAATTGCAAATTCTTTAGTGTCATGAGGGTGCTTAAAATAAAAGAGCTGTAATGAGACGAGATCCTGTAGCATGTGTGAGCTGAATTGTGCTAGATTGGTTATTCTCATTCTGCATATGATTGCTGATGGCTTCTGCAAGGCAAGGGACGTGGTTTTGGAGTGATTTTCTTTCTGTTTAGTCTCTCTTTTCCCTCGTGCTCTCCCCCTGCTTCCCAGCGGTACAAAGGGTGCCCGGCACCGCGTCCCCTTCTGCAGAAGGGCTGTTAGCAACAGATGTGCCTTGATGACAGGGTGCGGGCACATCACCCTGCGTCTGCCACAAGGTGCTTGGCTGCTTCTGAACATCACCCCTGGATTTCTCCTGTCAAATGAATCTGAAGTGAAGGCTGGAGGACAGATCCCCCTCTTGTTTCCCCACACGCAGCCCCAAACCGTTTCTGGATTGAGTGGGTGCTGATTGCGGAAACCGATAGTGGGTGTGAAGTTGTAATAACCCCATTTCATTAATTACTGGTTTTGCCAAGGAGGACTTTTGTTCCCAATTGTCCACGATGTAATGAATGTTTTTAACTTCTCCTCCGTTTTCTCTAATTGTATAACCACCTTCTGTGCCCACGAAGAGGAGGATCAGGGCATCCTTGGCAGGGGCGGCCAGGTCAGGGACGATGGGCAGAGGCGTTTATCTCGCCAAGCCAACATCCCCGCTTGGAGCTCATTACATAAACCCGAGGCATTCAGCTGGATCAGAAGCTGCCTGCTAAATTCACGGCTCGCCGCACATGATGGATGCCCATCGCCCAGGGCGGGCGTGATGCTGCCTGGCACGGGCAGGGCTGTGCTCGCAGGGGTGTGGGGGCTGTAGCGCAGGACACTTGTCCGCTGTTGGTTTGCAGAAGAATCTGCTCCAGGTTTGGATGAAGAAGTGGTCGGTGGTCTCCTGTCACGCTGGTGCTTGCACCGTCAGTCCTGAGTGGGACTTTCTGTCGTCTCTCCCAGTTCTTGTGCGCTGTTTCAAAGGAATTGCTCTCAGCTTTGCCTCTCCCCCCTTTTCCCTGGTTTTCTCACCCAGGGAGTGTCTCGGCAAATGTTAAGGCTGGCCGAGATCCCAAACAGTAGGTGTCTAGCAAAAATCAAAACAAACGGGGAAAAAAAATTAAAATCCCCAGACCCACAGGGTCAAGTTCAGTGGAACCGCAGCTGCTCACACCAGCACCGCGCTGGCTCCGGGCTGTCCCACTGCCTACATCTGGCCCCCATTGGGACGGGAGGGAGCGGGACGTGACAGGGCGGATGCTCCTACCCGAGCGGGAGGCACAGATCGGGAGTCTGAGGCAGGCAGGGAGGGGAGAAAACACCAGCTGAATTTCTTGGAAGCCAACCTCGTGCGATGTTTTTGGCGTTGCTGAGCGTTGGCTGATGCTGGGATGGGATCTGACCTTTCAGCAACGCACGCAAACAGCAGTAAACACCCTCCCTTGGCCGGTGCTGATTTTCCGTGCTCCTGATGGTGCTTCTCGGTGTTGTCTTTCCCAGGTGGAGTTGCTGCTTCTCAGTGTCCCAAAGAAGACAGCAGGAGCTCAGGAGCTTCGCATGAGACCACGGGAACCAAGCGGACCTACGATATGATGGAGGGGAGGATCAGCCGGGGCTTATCAGCCCGTGATACCCTATCTGCCAGCATTGAAGGTGGGTCTGGGTGAAACCTTTCACCCATGCTGTGTTAGTAGTGACCCGCAGAGACCCCATCTTGTCTCTTGTCTACATGATCCACCTTCCCGTGCCCGTGTTTTGGCAGTGGTTAGCTGGTACCCTGCAGCACATCCCAAGAGGACAGCATCTGACCAGCATGGGAAAACAAGGGACACAGACTGGCCCATTTGCCTTTGGTTTCTGTCCTGGTAGACCAGTTTCAGGACTACAAAAAAAAAGGAAGCACATTTTAAAAAAAGAGAAATCAAGTAATTTAGAAATTGTTAATGGTTTTCCTTCTTGTCCCAGGAGTCCCTGGTAACACTGTCGTGTATTCTTTCCCCCTTGGATCTGTTCTAGGTCTCATGGGTCGAGCAATCCCTCCAGACCGACACAGTCCCCATAACCTAAAGGAGCAGCATCACATGCGGGGCTCAATTACACAAGGTAAAGCCTGCAAACAGAAGATGGCCACGGCCAGAGGTAACGTAGGGAAGTATCTCACATGCATAGCCCCTTGTTCTTGTCAGGCTAGGGCAGGAGGAAACAAGGATGGACACATCAAGGTCCAGCTGCAGATCTCTGCAGCCTCGGCTGTGTGCTCAGAGAGATTTTCAGTCTTGCTCAGCTTCTTACCAACCTAAGCTCTCACCAAAGTCGGGGTAAAATTGTCAGTGACTCACATGAAGGCAGGTTGAAACTAGTGCGAAATGGCTCCAGAAAGTGGTGGTAGATGTGAGATGGTCCAGCTGCATTAGTGATGTAGCTGTTTTGTGTGCTCACTTGGGTACCAGTCCCCCAGTTACGTACATTAACTAGAGACCCCCTTGAGCATCTGCACGAGGACTGGGAATCCAGTGTCTGGCTGGGGAATCACCCTCTGCATCCATCGTCTGCTTGGGGGTTGCAGGAATACCTCGGTCCTACGTGGAGGCCCATGAGGACTACCTCAGAAGAGAAGCCAAACAGCTCAAGAGGGAAAACACTCCACCGAGGGACTTATCTGATGCCTACAAGGTCAGGTCTCACGAGGGCCTTACTCCTCTGAAAATGAAACCAGCCCATGAAGGCCTGGTGGCCACGGTGAAAGAAGCGGGAAGGTCAATCCATGAGATTCCCCGGGAGGAGCTGAGGCGGACACCGGACATCTCTCTGACGAGACCTCTGAAGGAAGGCTCCATCACGCAGGTGAGTATGGGGAGAACAGCAGATGAGCTCGGTCCTACTCAGGCTGCTGTCCTTGCACAGACCCTGGCGACCATTCCCAAGGTAAAAGGAGAGCAGAGAGGGCTTCAGGTTGCAAACACATCACTGGTCAGAATTGAGGCTCTGCTCGGGTACAGGTTGTCCTTCCCCATCATTTGATCTTTAAAGGTCCCTTCCAACCCAAACCATTCTGTGATTCTATGATCCTTCCCAGCAGATAAATGCAAAACCTGGGGAAAGGAGCTCAGCACCCCCTGACCTGTTAAGAAAGCGATGCTCCATGCACACACACACGGAAGGGGACACATTTGGTGCTTGTTCAAGGCCAGAGTCAACTCGGTGTCCTCGGCAGTTGTGACTCTGGGTGCGCGTAATCTTGGTCCCCTCCCTTTATGGGCAAGCGTCAACCCAGCAAGGCCAGTAGCTAGGGTGAAACGTGGCATGCTGTCTCCTGTTGGGCTCCAAATATTTGGAGGGTTCCCATGGCACCTCGCAGTCCTACCTCATTTCACAGTGTGTGTAGGAGAGAGGCGTGATGGGCACAGCCAGCCTTCTGCGGTGACTCATCATCATCTTGTTGGAGCACAACAAGACATGCAAGATGGGCACTCCACCCTGTCCTGCGCCGTGCGGAGCTGTTACCTCTGCTTTGCCGATGGCTGTTGCTGTTTGACCAAGTAAACTGGTGTACTGACCCACTGAACGAGGAAGCACGAGTCCCGTTGCAATTTGGTGGGATGCGGTCGCTGCATCCCCTTCTGCTCTATGCCCCTTTGATGTCCCCTTTGCCTTCTGTCCCCAGGGTACCCCGCTGAAGTACGACAGTGGCTCTTCCTCCTCAAGTACCAAAAAACATGACGTGCGGTCCATCATCGGCAGTCCCGGCAGGACTTTTCACTCTGTGCACTCACTGGACGTCATCCAAGACCCAAGGAATCTGGAGAGAGCTTACGAAGAGAGCCTGAAAAACAGGCCAAGCCCGGTGACAAACTCGGGTGGCTCCAT